TGTGTAAAAAAAAAAAAGACTTTTTTTGTGTGGCTTTCCAATATACATAAGAGTAAAGAAAGTTAAGAGCTATTTGTACCCATCATTCAGCTGCAGCAAAGAGTCAACATTTAGCCAATTTTTTTTTTTTTTTGGTCACCTTCTCCCTTTTCTTCTGTAATATTTTGAAGTAAATCCTAGACATTATATTTCACCTAATGAACACTTGGAAATGAATCTCTAACAGATGTGGACATTATAACCACAATGCCATTATGACAACCAATGTAACTTGCTAACATCACCTACTACCAAATTCATATTAAAATTTTCTAGTTGTCTAGAAAGAGGTATATTTAGAGTTGGTTTAAGGATCCAAACAAGGTCCACAGGCATTTTTTATATCTCTTAAGTTTCCTTTAACACATAATAGTTCATCTTCCCTTTTTAAATAAAGTCCAGCTGGACAGGGTGGTTTGTGCCTGTGGTCACAACTACTTAGAAGGCTGAGGTGAAAGGATTGCTTGAGCCCAGGAATTGGAGGGTGCAGAGCTATGGTTGTACCACTGTACTCCAGCCTGGTAATGGACTGAGACCCTGTCTTAAAAAGAGAAAAAGCTGTTTGTTCAAGAAACTATTTCCTTTGTTCCATAGACTGTTCCACATTCTTGATTTGGGTTGCCTTTGCATCTTTGTGGAAATCAATCAACCCCTTACACCTGGGCCTGTTTCTGGATTTTTCTGTACTAGTCCATTGATCTGTGTGCCTGTTCTTTTAGCAATATCATGATGTTTTGATTACTCTAGTTTTATACTAAGTCTTGGAATGAGATAGTGTGTGTCTTTCAACTTTCTTTAAAAATATAAAAGTTGAAAATTTAAATGGATAATTGAGAGCCTACCTTTATTTATTTACTTATATAATATATATATAATAGTTGACTACGGAGAACTGTGGTTTTTGGTATTCCTGATTTTTATATATTTCTGAAAAGAAAATCTACATAATACTTGAAAAGCAGCCTCTGTGAAATGATGGTACAAAATAATCGATGGAATTATTTTAAAATTAGATACTCCATAGAACACAAATACTTGCAGCACCATTTATATTCCACATTTGAACTAACATGCATTTTAGAACTTGGGATTTGTAATACTATAGCAGTACTTTGCAGCCTTTGCTAAGTGCTGTGTCTAACCAGTTTTCTTTAGTGTAGGATACCTATTTGGACCTGAGATCTAATTTTTTCCCGTTTCTTTGATAGCAGAGCCATTTTTAAAGTCCCTTATTCTTTAAAAGCTTTTTATGTTCTTATATTCGTGTCAAAGGAATTCTTGTTAAAGAATCGTATTATGTGAAATACATACAATTTATTTGTTTCCTTTTAAGTATAATACTCTATAGACACAAAACAGTATAGGTTATAGATAAGATATAAAGCATAAAAATATAATGAATTTTCTTGAACTCACTTTTCAACCCAAGAATTTGAACATGGCCAGTAACTTGCATCTAACTTTGTACCTCTTTCTACCTCCCTGCTTCATACCAATAGACAAACCACTAGGTAGAATTCGTGCTTGTCATCCCTTTGTTAGACTTCTGCCTTTAGTCACTTTTTGCTGTGAGTTCTAGACTTTTTGGGAAGCAGTACATTTTCAAGAACATATTTAAAACTTTAGGTTTTAAATTTGTTTTCCTTTGGGTGTATGCTACCATTTATTTGAACAGTTCTGGACCACTAACGGCATTAGGTAAATGTTTAATCCGTTATGCCAACCATGCTCTAGTAAAAGAAGTTTAGAAAGTAAAGACTTCTTTAGACAAATGACTTAATCCTTCTGGATCTGTTTTCTCTTCCATAAAGTAGGAGAGTTGTAGATCATTTTTAAATTACTCTTAATTTTAGGACTATTGTTTCTAGTTCTAAAATTCTGTTATTTTAATTCTGCTTTTTTTCTTAACTCTTTTATAGTTTAGAATACCTGAAAATTTATTTTGACCAGAACTTTTTCTTCTCCTCCTCTAAAATATTTCCTTATGGGCAATTAAAGGAATTATTTGTTAAAGAACCAAATATTATGAGTAACGTGTGGAGACATTTTTGCTATTTCATTTCCCCTTTGCAGTATACTTGATGCATGAAAAGTAATATATATAATTTACATGTTTCTTACATGAAATAAAATATAAACCTATAATGAGTATCTGGGAACTAACTTTCCAAGCCGTTATTAGTTATTTATTGCTGTGTAGTAAACTACTCTAAAACTTAGTGGATTAAAACAGCCAACATTTATTGTCTCACTCAGTTTCTGGGGTCAGGAATTTAGAGTGGCCTAGCTAGGAGCTTCTGCTTCTAGGTCTTTAATGAGGTTTTGGTTAAGATGTTTCCTGGCACTCTAGTCATTTGAAAGCTTGGCTTGGATGATTTACTTCCAAACTCATTCATGCACATGGCAGTTGCCAAGAGGCCTCCGTTCCTTCCTGCCTGTTGTCAGGAGGCCTCAGTTTCTTACCATGTAGGCCTTTTCCATAGGACTGCTTTTGACATGGCAACTGGCTTTCCCCAGAGCTAACGATTTGAAAGAGAGAGCCACCAAGACAGAAGCTGCAGTGTCTTTTATAACCTATTTTACAAGATATGTACCATCACTTTTATTGTGTCCCGTAGATGACACAGACTAGCCTTGGGACACTGTGAAAGAGGACTACAAAAAGGACCTGGGGGTCATTGGGAATCATCTTATTGACTTGCTGTTATGCAGCCCCCAAACTGGAGCATTTCCGTAACTTGTGTCTATTTTTGTTATCTTTTATACTTCACCCCATTTCCTCCCCAAGAGGTAATTGCTTAGAGAATATTCATTCCCTTACCTTTAATTTTTTAAATCAGAATTACATGGATAAACACTTTATTGTTTGGTTTTCTTGTTTTTGATCATTTTGACATTGTCATTTAAACATTTTTTTATTTTGGGAATTGCACTTTGTCTTTCCATGCAATTTTAGGGCTCTAAGATTTATATATAGCTGTAGCTCATTCGATTTTATTGCTGCAAGTCTATTATGTGAATTTAATTCTTATTAATGAACATATGGGTTGCTTTTTAATTAATTTGCTTTTATTTTTGTACATGTGTTCTGGATCACAAGAACAAGAATTTTTTTAGGACATGTACTTCAAAGTAAAATTGTGAGTCAGGGAGGGTACAAATGCTAATCAATAGTTAACTTTTCTTTATATTATACTTTAAATTCCAACATGTCTATTCCATTGTAGTTTAAATCTGGTGTTTCTTTTAACTTTTACTCATAGTGGCTTCCTTTCATTTTTTGCTTGGTGATTTCTAATTAACTGCTCTTTACCTGATCTTATTCTGTGTTCTGAATTGGCAGTGTTTTCTTTCTTTCTTTTTTTTTTTAATTGCATTTTAGGTTTTGGGGTACATGTGAAGAACATGCAAGATTGTTGCATAGGTACACACATGACAGTGTGATTTGCTGCCTTCCTCCCCTTCACCTGTATCTGGCGTTTCTCCCTATGCTATCTCTCCACAACTCCCCATTCCCCGCTGTCCCTCCCCTATTTCCCCCCAGCAGACCCCAGTGTGTGATGCCCCCCTCCCTGTGTCCATGTGTTCTCATTGTTCAACACCTGCCTATGAGTGAGAACGGCAATGTTTTCTTCAGAGAAAATCTGTCTTTGCTACTGCTGGTTACCAGGAGGCATAGCCAATTTTGGTCTGCTTCAGTTTTCCTTAAGAGTTGAAGTTCACTGTAGTAGGTTTGGACCCCATCTTGATGCTGGCCTACCTCTGAGTACCTAGGTGTCAGTATTGTTATTCATGTCATTCTCAGGGCAACCCTCCCTTCCTTGCAGCATGGCACTAGGGACTCTTCTATTTTTTTTTTTTTTTTCCTGATTGGAGGATACTTTCTCTATCTCAGTAATGCTTTAAAATAATCTCATTTCTGGAAACAGAAGTATTCTTCAGAGTACTTGGCTCACTATAATGCTAGATATCCTGACATCTAGTGTTGTGGAAGAAACGTTGGGTTGAGTAAGTAAACCTTTCTGTTTTTGATTTCATGTAACTTGATATTTTAATAGTTATGGGACTTCTCTGATCTTTTATTTACTCTCTTGAGGTTGGTTTTCATTTATAAAATTGAGTTTAATATCTATTAAATCTTTGTCTTGCTAACCTAGGAGTTTGAGAATAAACTGGAAAGCAAGAATATTTGCTTATATTATTAGTGACAATATAGAAAATAAACTGTAGGACAGACATATTTTTTCTGTGTGGCTTATGTTCTTTTCTTTTTTTCTCACCTAATAGATACTTTGTTGCATTTTATAGATGTGTTTATTTTGCATTCAGTTTAAAGTTAGTCAACTCAAATATCTGAATCCTTATACATAAATATCCTTTAACCTTCAGTTTTGCCAGTGGATATATGAAAAATTAGAGGAATGTATGTAATGGGGAAGTAGTTCTTATACTTTGTGTTACTCATCAGTGATGTTTGCACGGTACATTTCAATCATTATCTGCCTACCCTGGTGGTCTAGTGGTTAGGATTCAGCACTGCCAGTTGTTATCTGCCATTACAATGGTCAAGGCTGTTTTGTGGTTTTCTAGATTCTTGTTAATAGCTGTGAGAATAAAATAGTTTTAGGAATGAATGGTACCCAAGATTCTCATGTTAAATACAGTTTTGCTCACCAATCTTTGGGCAATTCTAACTTTTCTTCTACTGATCAGTATTAATATGCTACTCATCTTGGAAAGGTGCATCTTGTACTTACAATTTTAGAAGCTTAAGAGCCCTTTAGAAATGGCTTAGTTAAGATTCAAAAAAGTTCTTCCCAAAGCCTTAAATATTAGACTAGTTATGTACATACTAAGTTTGTTCTTATTTTAAAGGTCTCTGAATTACCTATAATTTTATAAGCAAGAAAGTCTTAGAAAGTAAAATGATTGATGAGATATGTGTATATTCTTTATTTCAGATCTCATCGAAGCCCTGAAGCCAGAGTATGTGGCACCCCTTGTCCTTTGGCTTTGTCACGAGAGCTGTGAGGAGAATGGTGGCTTGTTTGAGGTATTTGCACCTTCCTGTTTTCTCTTACTAGTTTTCTCCAGTTGCTTACATTTGTAAAAATCTGCACCAGTGGACATCACTTGTATATTTTTAAGTATTGTGTCTATGTTATAATTAAAAGTGTTGACTAATAGCCGTTTTTTGAAAAGTAATAGCAACTTTATAAATTACTTTTTTACTTCGTTCTACATTTGTAATATTTCTACTAAATGAAAATGTGGCTGGTTTGATGTGTTCAGTCAAAATGTGGGCGGTTTCATTATTTAAGAAGATGAATGATAAGGTGGAAAGATGGAGCTTGGAGTTTAGAGTCAACCATGCCAGATTTTGAATTCTTATTCTGGGGATTGCTGCTTTGACCTTCCTGAGCTTTAGTTTTCTTGGGGTGTCTTGTGACAACTACAAGTCATATTTTAAACTCTTGGCATAGGGCCTAATACATACTACTCACCCACCAATTTTAATTATCAATATAGCAGAAATTTCATCTTGTGTGATGGGTCAATAAATATAACATTATTTATTTTTACATAAAGAATAAACTTTTTTATTGGAAAGTTTTAAATGTTTATTATAAAAATATCAATCCACACATAATCCCATCATGTAGTGAGACCCATTGTTTATTGTTTGGTGAAAGTTCTTTTAGACCTTTTAAAGCCGATTGATATATTTTTTGGTTACTCATTTGAGTTTGATCTCTTGTTTCTAGCCTAAACTGTTGTATGCTAGACCCTGCCCCATTTTAAATTCTCTGTGGTAGTAATGAACCTGTTGTATACAGAACTTGTTGTAAACCTGGCTCAATTTGAAGTGAAGGATAATTAGCTTATTTCATTTGAATGAAAAACTGATGGGTAAAGGAAGAAAAAAAACCAGTCTACATATGTCTAAGCAGAGATATGCACCTCTGCCTTCCTAATCACAGCCATTGAATGTGAACTGTGGCACATTACAGGTAGAAAGAACTTAAAAACTTTGTTTCCTAGAAGAGGAAAATTTAATAATATCAAGCCATCTGTAATTCAAAATTTTGCCTGCCCTTCTTTTACCTCACTAAGGAATTTTTAAAACTATTTATCTTTTACAATTATGTTTATTGCTAAGTTTGTGAACAAAACGAATATGTGCTTTTTGTGAAAATTTCAAATATATAAGAACATATAAAAAATAAAATAAAAATTGCCTACATTATCACTATCCAGAGAGAACTACTATTAATATTTTTATGTATTTTCTTCCAGTCTTTTATTAGATATGCATTTTATATTTTATTTTTATTATTTTTTTGAGACAGAGTCTCGCTCTGTTGTCCAGGCTGAAGTGCAGTGGCACAATCTTGGTTCATTGTAACCTCTGCCTCCTGGGTGCAAGTGATTCTTCTGCTTCAGCCTCCTGAGCTGGGATTACAGGCACCCACTGCAAAGCCTGGCTAATTTTTGTATTTTTAGTAGAGATGGAAGTTTTACCATGTTGGTCAGACTGGTCTCGAACTCCTGACCTCAAATGATCTGCCTGCCTTGGCCTCCCAAAGTGCAAGGATTACAGGCATGAACTACCATGCCTGGCCTAGATATGCGTTTTATACACTCAGACACACACAGACAATTAGGATCATGCTGCATATGAAGTTTTATATGTTGCTATTTTCTTTTACTATGTTGTGAAGGTTTTTAGTGAGGAACATTTGGCATGCATGATTGGCAGAATATCCTATGAGATGTACATAACATCCTGACTTAAACCTTGAAAGTAAATTTCCGCTTTTTGAAGTTCTGATCGGTATCTAGAGTGCCAGATACAAATATTTTTGGCTCACGTGGAGCAGTTTTTAGCACCTGAGAGGAGCTTGTAGCTTATTACTTCATTTCCAAAATACAGTAAAAAAGTGATAGTTATTTTGCCTTTTATGAAAACCACTGCTGATTTGCCTAGTGTAACTATACCAAGGCAGTGTACTATTTGTATTGTTTGCTTCATGGTAACCACATGAAATATGTACTGTCATTTTTATTTTACATTTGAGGAACCTTGGATTTAGGCAGGTCATATAATTTGGCCAGGGTAGTCAGTAGACAAATTTGTGTCAAGGCTTAGTCTCTGACATCAGATTCATTCTTTTCTATTACATGCATTTCTACTTCATTGTGTTGTTTTATGTTTGTGCTCTGATAATGTGAACAGTGCAAAGTCATGGGGACCAGTGGACTTTTATAGAGCTGTATTATTTTCATCTACAGTCATCTTGAATTTTAATACTCCTAGTAATGGTGCTGCCTTTTTTTTAATTAAAAAAATTGTATTAGTGATTTCACATTAGATGGTATAATGCTTTCCTCCTGTTTTTGGTAGGTTGGTGCAGGATGGATTGGAAAATGTAAGTCTCTCTCAGTTTTTGATTTGCACAGATTATTTCCATATCTTTAAACGTAAAACATTGCTATAGCAAAATAGGTATTTTAGAACATGGCGATTGTCCTTTAGGCCTGTGGCCCTTTCAAGACCCTATCTATTCTTCCTGTAGGCAGTCCCTATTCAGGACTTGTCCTGTCTTATTCAGAACTGGCTATTCCTTCAGACAGTATATATTGATATTCATCCTCCCATGTCTTTGACTTCCCACATGCTTGTTCTTGCTGTTTCAGCAGAGAAGTGAGTGGGAGGGAGAGCTGTTTTCGAAAAGACGGGTTGAGCCTATTCTAGAGCAGCAGTAATGGTTTTTGTGAATCTGTGCATTCTACTGACTTGTGGAAATAGAGGTAGAGCAAAGAGAAGGAAAGGGAGAATTATTTGGGGCCACCTGTTACACTAATTTTTTGTTAACTGAAGTCTTTGACCTATTATTACCATTAGACTTCAGTATGCTAACTCAGCAAAGCTCTATTCTGTTATCTTCATTTTATAAACAAGAAGAATGACGTATATTACTTGGGAATCTGTGGTCATGAAGTCAGTCTTTTGGTGTGATTATTATATAATTAAACTTTTTCACATACACTGTAACATTCTACCTTTAGTACTGTCTAGCATAGTCAGAAGAGAAATTTTTCCCTCTAGCTTCAAATTTTTCATTAAATCGACCTTATCTTAATGGGTTTGTTAGGAAAAATTTATTTTAAGGCTTATATAGTAAAACTCTTTAGGAGTTAGAATTCCTTTTTTTCTCAACTTCCTTTGTCTTAAAAAATAAAAGGGTTCTTATGCATCGTACTTTGTCTCTCAACTATATGCTCAGTATGTTAGTTTTGTTTCTATAACCAGTACGCTGGGAGCGGACGCTTGGAGCCATTGTAAGACAAAAGAATCACCCAATGACCCCTGAGGCAGTGAAGGCTAACTGGAAGAAGATCTGTGACTTTGAGAATGCCAGCAAGCCTCAGAGTATCCAAGGTAAAGAGAGTCCCTGTCAGTTAGCCCTCACAGAGGCAGCAAGCATTTTCTTCTCTTATGGAATTATCTTCTATGTTAACTGTAGTACTAAGACACTTAAATCATCTATAGCATATTTTCTGCTCTAGTGGGTATTAGAACTCTTCACATTTAAGATATTTATGTTATTCTCACTGTCAGTTTTTCAGCTTTGTTATTTCCTTTTTCTTTGATTTATGTGTGATTAGGGGACGGATGGCATGTTTTCTCATTTGTGCTGAATGCACTTACACCCTTGCTGATGGTTGGTTTCAAAGTCTTCCATTATCTACCCATATGCTCTCAATCTTACCATATTTTTCTTTCTCAAAAAGATTATTTCAGCCTTTTTTAGAATTTAGGCTTAGCTCTTTTCTGTTTGGTGCATAAATGTGGCTTTGTTTTAGCACTTCATCTTCGCTACTGTTTCTTTGCTTTTCTAACACACTTGTACCTTTTATCTCCTCTGCTAATCCTAGCACTTCTTTAGAAAAACTCAAGCCCCAAGTGTTCAACAAAACTTGCCCAGATATTCTAGGGTACATTGATCTTTCTGTTAGCCGAACTCCTACTACTTGAGCATCTAATTATAATTGCTCTCTACTTTTGTTTCATGAATGTGTGATTTCTTAATTGCCTGGTAAGTTCCTCTGAGGCAGAGACTGTATCTTGTATTTACTTCTTCTATATGTTTGGTGTTAGCATAGTACTGAACTCATAGAAGAGACTTAATAATTGCTTATTAACTTCAATTGTTTAATCTCCTTTGACATGCCACAGAAATAGATAACCAAATAAAAGTCAGGTTTTTTTTTTTCTAGCATAACTCATATATGCATGTAATATATGAAATTTGAAATACTTGTCTGAAAAGATGTCAGAGTAATTTTATAGAAAAACATTTTTTTCCTCATAGTAGTCTAATATTTAAAGTTTGATAGAACATATTTGAAAAATTACTATTCTGGTTTTTTTTCTCCTTAATGATACTTTCTTACCTACTGGAATACTCAGTGAAATTTTCATTATGCTTATTCTCAATCGGATGATATCATGATTGTTATAAATGGTAATATTTTTGTATTTTATATTTAGACATTTGAGAAATTTATTCTATGAATGACAGTCACCTATCCATAAAAACAAGTGAAAGAAAAGAATTATAGTAAAACTTTCCTCTGATATCTATCTCAAAAAGTATTTCTACCTCAAAAGTGTTAGATTTATTAAAAAGCGAACTAATTGAATTATTATAAGTAACTAATTATAAATGAAAAGATAACTCTATTTGAAGCACAATTTAAAAAAATGATCTTTTCAGTAAGAGTTGATTTTCCAGAGCATCTATTCTAGTGTTTACATTTTACAGATGATGGAACTAAATCCCAGAAAAACTAAGCTAGCCAGTGCTTGAGCCAACAAGTAATTCAAATTGTTCATCTCTGAAAGGAGTACTTTTAGCCTGTACTAAGGTGCCTTCCAGCTAAGTGGCCTTCCCTCTAGGTAGCAATATGAATGGATGGTAGGGGGAGGATTAATAGGCAAAAAACCTCTCTACTGGTGTCATCAGGAATGGCAGATGTTTCTTCTCAGACAGTATGGTTTATGTTTATGTTTTTTTTTCAGACGGGGTCTTGTTCCCAGGCTGGAGTACAGTGGCGTGATCTCAGCTCACTACAACCTCTGTCCCTTGGGTTCAAGTGATTCTCCCACCTCAATCTCCAAGTAGCTGGGATTATCGGCATATGCCACCACACCTGGCTAATTTTTGTATTTTTAGTAGAGACAGGGTTTCATCATGTTGGCTAGGCTGGTCTTGAACTCCTGACCTCAAGCAATCTGCCTGCCTTGGCCTCCCAAAGTGTTGGAATTACAGGTGTGAGCCACTGAGCCCGGCCTTGGTTATAGCTTTGTCTGAGTTCAGAAGGAAGCTCATATCTCTAAGGTTTGTTAGAAAGGTCCCAGGGCCTTCAGAATATCTTGTGGGTATGTGGATGCCCCATGAGCCTCCTTTATTGACTTTTTAGACCCCCAAAACAGCAGCTTTTGATCCCTGTGTGGAGTCATTGGTTATGATGATAGTTTTCTCTGGAAGAATTTTTGGTACTATCTTTAGAGCTATTACAGAGAGCTGGGGGTGGGTGTGAGGAGGTAATCTTGGCATTCTTTCATCTGGGGAGAATGGAAATCAGTTGAGAAGAGAAATCAGTGATCTCTCTACCAGACAAATTGCATGTCTATAGACAAGTATCCCTCTTTACAGGTCGTAAAAAGCTTAAAGACATTGGAAAGCTCAGAGTCCCTTAGAATCAGATAACTGGGGAAGGAAATGCTAGACAATGTCTTGTTTTTCATTGAGGATGTCCATTTATTTTTGGCCTATTTCAGTCTTTCACAGTTTTTTCCTGCAATAGCCTGACATCAGACATTCAGAACTGTGAGTGGCAATGGAGGCTCTGTAGCAGGTTTGCTGAATGTTATAGGAATAATTATGTAGCATACTGTAGCTCTTGTTAGTCACATCTTTAACAAAGCTTTATTTTTTTGTTTTTCATTTTTAATTTTAGAATCAACTGGCAGTATAATTGAAGTTCTAAGTAAAATAGATTCAGAAGGAGGAATTTCAGCAAATCGTACTAGTCATGCAACATCTACAGCAACATCAGGATTTGTAAGTGGGGAAAAAGCCTAAAGCTTTTGCCTTTTTTTTTCTCTTCCTCCCTCCCTGCTTTCTTCCTCCCCCACTGCTTTCTATCTTCTTTTGGTTACGGTTACTTTCTTTCAGTTTTTAATAATGGAGAGAAGCAGTGGCAGAGATCATTTAAAATAGAGGATTTATTCAGAAATCATTAATTATTGACTTATAACATACAGCCTGATTTCAACATACAGAGAATTCAGGACAGTTGAGATACATGAAGAGATGGCTGAAGATGAATTCTAACACTGTCCAGAGCACTTTATTTGTCTTTTTAATTTCTCGTTTTCCATCTCTAGATTTCTCTGGACTGTACTATGCATTTCTTTTCCCCAATGGGAAAGGAGATCAGAGCAATTGGGTATCAGTTTCCAAGGTTTTTCCTAGTAGCTGAGTGGGGCTTGAAGAATGGAGGTAACCCACTCAGCTTCTTCCCCTGGTTGGAAACAGAACTGCTGAAAGCTTATCATGAACTTTTCAGAGGGATACTCCTTACTTGCATATAATTTTTGGTAGGCTCCATTTGGGGGGTGTAATGAATCAAGTTAGCTGCCTGCGTGGTTGTTAGCCAACCTCGTTTTTAACCACTGCAATGCTGTTTGGAAATTGACTCAGAGAGGTACTGGATGGAAGAGGAAGAAAGGGATTACCTCAACTGTTGATAAAAATGGCTTGAGCCTAAACTGATATCTAGTCTGATATCTGGATTTCAGGCCTGTCTGCTTTCCATAGTTCATAGTTCTTTATCTTTTTAAGTATAGATATGAATTGATTTTAAGAAGATTTGAGTTGTGTGGGAATTTGTGTGTGGGAGGGGAGACTATGACACCATGACTTTTGAAGGTTATATGCTCCCTGATCTTCGTTGTGTTTTTTTACCCTTTTACCTAATACACACAAGGCTTTAAACTTCTATATTGAAAATGCCTATAATCAGCAATTTTGTTTGAAATGTAAATAATTTTGAAACTTTTTTCACATACAAAAATTATTTTCTAAGCTATTAATTTGTTGCTAAATAAGTGATGATAAAAGTTTATATAAAATATATACTATTAATAGAATTTGAGTGAACATAAGCTGAAATATTAAACTTTTTCTTTTTCAGTACAGTTAGACAAATTTTTTTTTTTGACAATCAATAATTCTACTTTAGTGTGTATTATCATTAAGCAGTAACATTTTCTAACTTTTTAGGAAAGGGTATCTATTTTAGTGGCTCCTTGGGGTCATTTCTCTTAAGGGAAGCATCAATATTATGTTTTAGAACTATTTCAACATGGCTGCAAGTAAAATGCTTCCCATTGTGTCAGAAATTCGAGAACAATTGTGGTTATAGCACCTGTGAAATTTGCCCATTTACTGTCTCCTCTTTGTATTCTTTCTTAAAAAAACTGTACTGGATAAATAGGAAGCAGTAAGTCATTTGCCATATTAGATTCTAGTGTTTTGTATCCTATGGTAGGCATAGTAATAAAGAAAATTAAAATTCTGATTTTAAGCCTGAGAATATGGTCAATATATAAATGTGATTTTTAGTTTAAAATAAGGGTTGGCAAACCTTTTTGATGAAGGAAGGGCCATGTAATAAATATTTTAGGCTCTGTGGGCTACACAGAGTGCTTCTATTACATACTCTTTCTGTTTTTCCTATTTTTAATCAAACTGTGTAAACCATTTTAGCTCTTAGTCCTTGTTTACCAACTTCTAGTTTAGAATAAATATGATTGAAAAATTGGACATTATTCTTTTATAACCTAATATGTACTTATTAACTATGCATATTATCACTAAGTAGAAAAAGACAACATCCAGTTAGACAAAGGATATTCCTGTGAATATACTGGGAAGGAAGTTCAAGTTAAATTTTATTTTACTTAAAAACATTATGAGGCAGTCAAATTTACATGCATTAAGCAATATTTTTTGCTCATCTGTTTACAGTGTATTTTATACATTAGATTGTATGAGCAATTTACTATCTTTAGTATCATTATTTTTTGAATTTTTGTGTAGCTAATAGTTACTGAATTAGAGACAGGAAAGTTGAATATGAGGCATACTGTTAGCAAGAAGCAAGCAATAAAAAAGTTATTATCTATAAATAAAGTTCTTTTCTACACATGATCTAATTAGTTTTTATTAAAAAAATTCAAAAATAATTGCAATAATTATGCTCCATCAAATTCACTGACATTCTATTCCTATCCAAAAGCAAAACTAGGTATGTAAGAAGTTATTAGTTTTGGAAATTTAAAATTTCAAGGATTTAACAAAACTATCAGTGAAAGAAATTACTTTTTACAACTGTCCTGTTAGGCCGGAGCTGTTGGCCAGAAACTCCCTTCATTTTCTTCTGCTTATACGGAACTGGAAGCTATTATGTACGCCCTTGGAGTGGGAGCATCAATCAAGGATCCAAAAGATTTGAAATTTATTTATGAAGGAAGCTCTGATTTCTCCTGTTTGCCCACCTTCGGAGTTATCATAGGTCAGAAATCTATAATGGGTGGAGGATTAGCAGAAATTCCTGGGCTTTCAATGAACTTTGCAAAGGTATGCCCAATAAGAAACCTTTATTTTGCTTTTCTTCTATTTTTGTAAATACTAATTATAAATGTTATATCTTATATGTATTCGTGTAGTGTGTGTATATATATTTATATAATTATTTATAGTGGTTTAAGAATAAACATTTAGCATATCTTTTTTAAGAGTAAAAGAGCATAGAGTTAGTTTAAAATGCCAGCAAAAGAAGAAAGTAACAAGTACGTGTAGCCCCATAACCCTGGCATGATGTTATTTATCTTCTCTGTGCTGTTTACTTGATACTTGACCAAGGGTAAGTACCATCTCTAGGCTTCAGTTTCTTTATCTATAAAATGGATATGATAATCCTCACCTCATGACAGTGGTGAAGAAGCAAGCCAGGGAGGAATAGTTAAAGCAAATAGCACATACTTGGTTTGTTTTTGGAACAGTAAGGGGGCCAGCATAGCTGTCAGGGGGGCAATGGTAGGAGAAGGCCATGGAGTAATTGTAAAGCTGTCAATAGTGTATACTCTGATGTACGTGGGAAGCCATTTGTTAATCTGAGCTGAGTAGTGACATGATCTGGGCATGTTCACCCACTGGCTCAAGCTTGCCACTGTTGGAGAATAGGTTATATGGGAGCCAAAGTGGAGAAACCACTTAAGAGTCTATTATAATAATCCAAGTAAAAGTGCTGCGTGTGAAGGTTAGAAAAGAGGAGTCAAGGATGAAGATGTTCGTTCTGAATAACTGGGATGTTATCATGATGTGTGCATATATATACATTGTATATAATTATACAATACACATATGTATATGCAATGTATAATTATTATATACAGTATATTTAATATGTATCTTAGTTACATGTGGCATTATGTATAATTTATAGATACACATTTATTTTAAGGTGTGGTGGATTAGGAGTTGGTTTCAGATATGTTTGAAATGCCTGTTATACATTTAAGTGGAGATGTAAGATGGACAGTTGAATATATGAGTCTGGAGTTCAGGGAGAGGTCTGACTGGGTCTTTAAAGCATTTAGGTCATATTTAAAGACTGGAGATTAGATGAAGTCATCTATTATATGAGTGTAAGTAAAGAAGAGGCCTGAGTTTAGAGGCCCTGCAATGTTGAGAGGGTGAAGAGATGCAGAGGAACTAGCAAAAAGAGACTGAGCAGGAAAGGTTGGTGAGGTATGAGGAGTGTCGGGAGAATGTTATTGGAGAAGCCAAATGAAGAAAGTGTGTCAAGAAGGAGGAGTGAACAATGGTGAGAAGTTCTTTGAGTTAGGGTATATTTTATTTCTTGGAGTAAGGTTCAGGTTATGAGCCTGGAAATAATTTTTGAATCACGGGGCTGTGTGAGCATATATCTGTAACTTTGACTGATTAAAGAACCTATTTACTGGTGGATCAGTTAGCCCATTGGTGCTGTGAGTTGATGGCCACTTATTTTATTAGAGTGTTTCATGAAGTTGGGAGGAAGGCAAGAAATATGTGCTGGGCAGTTTCTTGTTTCATTCACACTCCTATGGTTAGTTGCTAAATACTTTAACAATGTAAGTGTAAAAAATTAAAACACGTTTCAAAATTCCCCCTAACAATTGGAAATTTTCAATGGTGTTCATACATCTTGGAACTTGAATCCTGGCCTTCTTAATCTTGAATTTTTCAGGCTGTATGACACAGTAAGCCCAACCTCATTTGTCTTCCTATTAACCACCTCTCCTTCTTTTTTTGTTATCCTTTTGGGTTTCTGAAGAAGACTGGGAAACCATCCCTCTGTAGTGAAGTGGGGTCATTTGTGTGTATACCTCAGGCTTTGGTTTTCCTACATACCTTGGTGCATTCTTCCTTTGATACATTGAAGTTAAGTGGCTATTAAGTTACACAGTGTCCTTAGTATCTATTCTGTAAGTAGTTTACAAAGTGTTACAAGAAAGGGATATTCACATTGACAGTGCTTTCACTTTGAACATTGTTGTAAGGTTTTTATTTGTGTTTTAGTTGTGTCATTTGTATTTGGTGTGTGACCTGAAATTACTAGCACTGCCCCATTTGTTCATTTTTATTCAGTGAATATTTATTGAATGTCCAATATGTTCCAGGCACTGTTATAAGTTCTGGGAATACAGCCTAGTTTATTGTCTCTTGCTAAATAACATGTGATTAACAGTCAACAAGGCTTTATGAATGCCAAGAAAGAACACAAATATATCTTCTCTGCTCCAGAAGAGCTGACTGTCTTTAGATTGGGGGATTGATTGCTTTTGAATCACATGATTAAGAAGAAGCCAAACGAAGATAGATGACTTGGGGAGAGATGTGAGCCTATGGACAGTAGAATGTCACTTGCAAGTAACAGTGTATCCACAGGCAGAACCTATGGAGCAAGAAAGTTTGTTTGCTAATAAAATTTTGTTTACCCTCACATAGGTTCTTCATGGAGAGCAATACTTGGAGTTATATAAACCACTTCCCAGAGCAGGTGAGTTTTGGATACACCAATTCCATAATACCATACTTTCATTTTCTGATTAACCTTCTAAACAACATCAATGTGTTAAACTGGTATAGAGTGACCTGATAAAACATGATAAATTATTATGTGCATGTGAACCATTAGAGTAGATTGATATTAAACTAATACCTGTTTTGGTCACTGTAAGCTTTGTCCTTCAGTAGTCTTAAAAATTTGTTTCATAATATATATTTGTTGATGTATGTGTTATTAACAACTGAAAGGAACATTTGTGTGTGTGCTCTAAATTTATTGACAGTGTCTAATCTGTTATGATTCTTATGATTATTGTTCTTTATTCTTAAGTATTTATCTTAATACTGATTTTCATAATACTGATTTTTCATATCTTTTAAAGTTAAAAGATATAGAATTTTTTATAATTCTTTTTTTTCTGTTTTGTTTTGGAGAAAATAAAATGAAGTCTGCCTTAATCATTTTTACTTTTCTTAATAATCTTATTTGTTTAGTAAATCTCTTTTTACTTTTTTTTTTTTACTATAATTTGATATATTTCTCTCATTTGATGTTGTCTAATTATATACTGTCATATAAGGTGGTAGAATGCAAAAAGGAATGTTTTATTAATATTTATCATTTCACATTATGAAATGTAGGTCAGCAAGTAGCTAGAATCCTACTTGAATATTTTTCTTAAACCTTTTTATTTTTCTAAAAAATTTATGAGATTTTTATTGCTTGAAGCTTAATTGTTTTATTTCAGTGTATTATAGCATAACTTTTCAAAAACAGTTTAAGTATTATAGCATAAATTTTCTCTTTTTATCTGAAACAGTATACTTTGGGTGATTGTGCATTGATCAAATATCTGCTGGATACCTAGTATTTGCAAGGCACACTGTTAGGTATTAATTTTCTAAACTGGCTGCATATCAAAGTCACCCTAGTTATTACATTATATTACCTGTTAATTTAAGTAAAATATAGATTCTGAATGCCAACCCTGGAAATCCTGTGTGTGTGTGTGTGTGTGTGTGTGTGTGTGTGTGTGTGTGTGTGTGCATATATGTATGTATGTATATTTAGGGTAGTGGTATTGGTGACAGTGGCTAGGAAGCTCCTTACATGTTTCGTATATAATCAGCCTGATGGGTTCCCTTGGAAACCATTGTTATAAGGGAAGTAGAAATGTGTGAGATAGGTTTCTGCCTTTAGGGATTTTAAAATATGAAAAGAGAGATTAGATGTATACTCCCGAATGATTATAACTGAACAGTGATATGAATAAGGAGGTATAGAGAATAACTCTTAAATTTTTTTTTACCTCCTTAGCCTTAAGTTACATTTCTCATGAATTATTTTTCCTCGGTAGCACCTGTGCATTTTCTTTAAGTAGTTTTAAAATTTACTGTCTAGTAAATGTGAATGTTCAAAATACGAGATACCTGTGGTTTGGAACCTTTTAAACTGCAGAAAACCAAGGTCAAGACTACTATTTATAATCTATTACTGTTTATAAAACACCAATTGATAAGACACAGGGCATCAAGCATCAGGAGACTGATATCAACATCTCTTAATGGCTCATTTGTTGGTTGTAGTGGTAGTGTCATAGGCTGACTTCCCCTCATCATGTTAAAAATAACCACTAGTTGGAGTGAAGGAAACCTCACAGCAGTGCCTTCTTTTATTATTTAAAAAATAATTTCAACTTTTATTTTAGATTCAGGAGGTACATGTGCAGATTTGTTACATGGGAATATTGTGTGATGCTGAGGTTTGAGATATGAATGATCCCATCACTCAGGTAGTGAGCATAGTATCCAATATGTAGTTTTTCAGCTCTTGTTGTCCCTGCTCTAGTAGTCCTGCATTGTCTCGTTTCCATCTTTATGTCCATATGTACCCAAAGTTTAGCTACCACTCACAAGTGAGAACTTGTGGTATTTGTTTTTTTGTTTCTACATTAGTTCGCTTAGGGTAATGACCTCTAACTGCATCCATGTTGCTGTGGAGCACATGATTTTGTTCCTTCTCATGAATGTGTAGTATTCCATGGTATATACGTACTACATTTTCTTTATCCTTTCCACCATTTTTGAGCACCTAGATTGATTCCATGTCTTTGCTGTTGTGAATAGTGCTACAATGAATGTATGAGTGCATGTGTTTTTTTTGGTGGAATGATTTCTTTTCCTTTGGGTATATATCTGGTAGTGGAATTGCTGGGTCAAACAATAGTTCTAAGTTCTTTGAGAAATCTCCAAACTGCTTTTCATGGTAGCTGAACTAATTTACATTCCCATCAACAGTGTATAAATGTTCTCTTTTATCTGCACTCTCATCAGCATCTGTTATTTTTTGACTTTTCATAGTAGCCATTCTGACTGATGTGAGATGGTATCTCATTGTGGTTTTGATTTGCATTTCTCTGATGATTAGTGATATGAAGCATTTTTTAAATGTTTGTTGGTGGCTTGTATGTCTTCTTCTGGGAAGCATCTGTTCATGTCTTTTGCCCATTTCTTAATGGAACTTTTTGTCTTTTGCTTGTTGAATTATGTTCCTCATAGATTTTAGTTATTAGACTTCTGTTGGATGCATAGTTTGAGAATATTTTCTCCCATTCTTTAGGTTATCTGTTTACTCTGTTCATAGTTTAATTAGGTCTCACTTGTTAATCTTTGTTTTGTTGTAATTGCTTTTGAGGATGTAGCCATAAATTATTTCCTAAGACTGATGTCCACAATGGTATTTCCTAGGTTTTATTCTAGGATTTTAATAGTTTGGGGTCTTACATCTAGATATTTAATCCATCTCAAGTTAATTTTTGTATGTGATGAAAGGTGGGAGTATAGTTTCATTTTTCTGTGTATGGCTAGCCAGTTATCCCAGAACCGTTCATTGAATAGGGAGTCCTTTCCCCATTCCCTATGTTTGTCAACTTTGTCAAAGATCAGATGGTATAGGTCTGTGGCTTTACTTCTGGATTCTCTTTTGTTTTCCGTTGGTCTTTTCTTGTACCAGTACCATGCTGTTTTGGTTACTGTAGTTTTACAGTATAGTTTCAAGTCAGATAATGTGACACCTCCAGCTTTTTTTTTTTTTTTTTTTACTTAGGATTGCTTTGACTATTTTTGCTCTTTTTGGTATCATATGAATTTTAGAATAGTTTTTTCCTAATTTTGTAAAAAATGACATTGGTAGTTTTATGGCAACAGCATTGAATCTTCAGATCGCTTTGAGCAGTATGACCATTTTAACAATATTGAGTCTTCCAGCTCATGAGTATGGAATGTTTTTCCATTTGTTTGTGTCATCTGGTGATTTCTTTTAGCAGTGTTTTATAGTTATCCTTGCAGATATATTTCACCACCTTGGTTAGATGTATTCCTAGGCATTTAATTTTTTTGTGGCTATTGTAAATGAGATTGCATTCTTGATTTGGCTCTCAGATTGAATATTATTGATGTATAAAAATGATACTTTTTTTTTGTTCATTGGTTTTATATTATGAAACTTTACCTAAGTCATTATCAGTTCTAGGAACCTTTTGGTAGATGGAATCTTTAGTATTTTCTAGGTATAGAATCATCTCATTGAGAGATAATTTGACTTCTTTTCCTATTTGGATGTCTTAAAAAAATTTTTTTTCTTGCTTGATTGCTCTGTGTAGGACTTGTGTTGTGTTGAACAGGAGTAGAGATTTAAGAAAGAATGGGGTAAATGGCATTGGTTGTATGCTTAACAAATGTTTGTTGAATAACAGGGTTAAAAAGGACCAAGAGGAGTCCTTGACATTGACAATGGTTATTTAAAAAATCTAATGTATCAAACTGTTGATGTTTAAAATTTAGCGATTCAGGTATCCTGACTGCTTTTAATATTGAATTATTTTTTCTAGTGAGTTCAGGAACATTATTTCAAACCATAGTTTTTTCAGTTTTGCTGAGCTTACAGTGAAAATGCTATTAAATTCTTTCAAATCTTATTATAGTAATCTTTGGTTTTTAAGACACTGTATTTCTTTTACTTTTCATTCTAGGAAAATTAAAATGTGAAGCAGTTGTTGCTGATGTCCTAGATAAAGGATCCGGTGTAGTGATTATTATTGACGGTAATTAATCTACAGTTCTTATAATAATATTGTTAGATTAATAGGCTTTGTGTGTGACATAATACTTCACTATAGAAATTGATTAATAAGTTTGTATTTGTCTTCCAGTTTGTAAGAAAACAAGATAAACTTTTTAAAACTCTTTAAGAAAAATAAAGGAAGGGGAGAAGGAATTAGTTCTGAACTCAGGCTGGGAAGTGTGGGGCATTTCATTGGATTTAAACAATATATCCAAATCACAAAGCTGGAAAATGTAGCTTGTATTGATAATGTAGAGGAGAATTAAGCTTTCTGGCATCTGTTTTTAGCAGGAAGAAATATTAGTTAGTCCTCACTTGACAGTTAGGCTATATTTTAGGTATTCTTTAATGTGTTAGCTATCTGGAACTTGAAACATATTTGACTGCTGAATTATTCTTACAAATGGTAGTTAGGTTCCTAGACTTGTAATTAATAAGTTTCTAGACTTTAACTTATGATGTGGTTTAAACATCACAGCCACATTTTATTTGCAGTGGGAAAAAAAGAGTATAGTAGTTTAATAAATGTTGAAATACTAGTAATTAAACATAAGGTAAAGATACGATGCTTAAAATTTGTAAATTTTATAAATTAAATTTTAAAAATTAAATTTAAATTTATAAATTTTAAAGTTTAAGAACGTAAAAGTAGATATTCATTGTCAGTAATTTGGGAAACAAAGAACAGTATAAAAGTGGACATTATTTAATATTTAGAATATAAGTTTATCATTTTTGTTGTAAATACATAGGAGGTTATATTGTATATGCTGTTTTGGAACTTGCTTTGCTTTTGCTTAGTAATCTATTGAGAACATTTCTGATGCTCGTAAATATTACATATGTTCTCTTCCTTCCTTCCCCTGCTTTTCCTCTTCTCTCTTCTCTTTTTCGGTTTTCATACTTGTCATTCCAGATGTTGGCCAAGGCTTGGCTACTGTTCTGTCAGTTCTCTTTCAGTCTTCTCACCATTGTACCAAATGTAATACACCAAAAAACAAAAGTCCTGTAGAAACCTTGCTTTAATCTTTACTATTCTCTCTTGATCTGCTCCATTTATTCAAATACAACTTGGCAATAGTATATTGAATTTGTAGACAAATTATAGGTGAAATTGGGTATTCAATTGCCTGTGTGATAAAAAAAAATCTTATTTTGAATACATTGACATGCCTTTCCTAATTTTTGGTTATAATTAGATTTTTCTGTAGTATGCAATTGAAAATCATATTTCTAGTTTTGCAGAGCTAGACATAAAACAGATAATACTTAACCTGCCCCTAGTAAGTTAGTAAATAGAGGGACAGCTGTCTTACTCATTACTTGCTCACTTATTTGCTAACTTGCTCAATCATATCATATATTCACTGATTTATTAATTAATTTAATAAAATTTATTAGGTACCTTTTTTTCTGTACAATAACTATTGTAGTTGTTGGGAGAATAAGAGGGAGCAGAACAGCCATGATCCTGCCATCAAGTGACTTACACCTTCATTCCCACTTATTTTCTCTCCATGCTTTTCTTGATTGCTTTGGCAGAATGTTTGAAAGTTCGAGTGTGATTACCTGTTCTTTCTAGTGGGATTGTTTGAAATGTTTAAGGTGGAAAGAATTGGGATCTGAATAGCAGTTTGAGAGGCTTAAGAAGAAGTGAAAGAAACTGCTTTTTCATAGTTAAGAAAGGATTTTGAAACTCTTCTTCTCTCTGTCTTTCAGAGTCAGGTAGTGAATGGATTAAAATGAATGCCCTGTAATCCAGACCTGGACACCTTTACATGATAGAACTCTTTCAGTAATTGGATTTTGTTTTTGAAACCTTGAAAGGAAATTGAACATATCTTGGTTAACTAGTTATGTCTTAAACAAACCTTGAACATATCTTGGTTAACTAGTTATGTCTTTTGGTAGTAACTTCTTTTATTTCTTTCTTTTGTTTATTTTTCAGTGTATTCTTACTCTGAGAAGGAACTTACATGCTACAATCAGTTCTCTCTCTTTCTTGTTGGCTCTGGAGGCTTTGGTGGAAAACGGACATCAGACAAAGTCAAGGTAAACTATGGCTTAATAAGCAAAATATATGTGTAGTAAAGGATTCTTACCTGTATGGTTGAGCCTTGAACAGCCTGAGTTTGAACTGCACGAGTCCACTTACAGGCAAATTTTCTTACACATCTGCCACCCCTGGGACAGCAAGACCAACCCCTCCTCTTCCTCCTCCCCCTCAGCCTACCCAATGTGAAGATGATGAGGATGAAGACCTTTATGATCACCTACTTCTACTTACTGAATAGTAAATATTCTTTTTTATAATTTTCGTGACATTTTGTTTTCCTAGCTTATTTATTATTATTATTAACTTTTTTTGTAGAGACAAGTGAACATTTATTTTTATCCCTTTCTTCTTATGTGTATTTCAAGTCTTTTTCCAAACAAGACCCCAGGAATCTCCAGATTCAGTTATGTCGCTAGGCTTGGTCGAGTGCTGCAGGAGTCTTAAGGGAGCCTTGTACAAATGCTAGAGTTACTCATTTACCAACATTAATCTCTAGGATACAGGATGCAACAAAGCAGGACTCTTTCCTCCATGGAATGTGCTGATTTCATATGAGGCGGCAGCCAATGTAGAAAACGGTTCCTAGCTTATTTTACTGTAATAATACAGTATATAATATATATAACAAAAAATGTGTGTCAGTTGATGATTTATTGGTAAGGGTTTTGGTTAATAGTAGGCTATTAGGTATTAAGATTTTAGGGAGTCAAAAGTTATACATGAATTTTTGACTGCATAGTAAGTCAGTGCTTCCAAGCCCCACACTGTTTAAAGACCAAGATGGCTGATCACTAGCAGCTCGGGATTGTAGCTCCCACTGAAAGCACAGAGAACGAGAGGACGCCACACTTTTAGATCAATTTTTGCTGCTCACGCACCAGGTGATTCCCAGTGGAGGAGCCCTGTGGGTCGCCAGCGCGACTCTTGTGGCTGGCAAGGCGGTTTTGCTGCTGCCTTGGTGTGGCAGTTCTTGATGCAGAGTAAAAGCACCATCAATCTTAATGCCGCTGTTTTAACCGGCGCAGTGGGTTGCTCAGATTTTAGCGTCGGGAATCAACAAGTTGGATGTCCATTCAGAAACCCAACTATAAAGACGGTAATTATAAAGATCACAGATGGATAAATCTATAACGAAGGGAAGAAACCAGCCTAAAAAGGCTGAGAATACCCAAAATCAGAACGCCTCTCCCTCTACAGGGGATCACAATTCCTCATTAGCAACAGAACAAGGCCTGTTGGAGAAAGACCATGTTCCGTTATCAGAAGCAGGCTTTAAAAAGTGGATGATAAGAAACTTCTGGGAATTAAAAGAACTTGTTCTAACCCAATGCAAAGAAACTGAGAACTTCGAAGAAAGACTTGACGAAATGTTAACAACAATACACAATTTAGAGAAGAATATAAATGAATTAATGGAGCTGAAAAACACAACACGAGAACTTCGCGAAGTATGCACAAGTTTTAACAGCCGAATTGATCAAGCAGAAGAAAGTATATCAGAGGTCGAAGACCAACTTAATGATATAAAATGTGAAGACAAGATTATAGAAAAAAGGATAAAAAGAAATGAGTAAAGTCTCCAAGAAATATAGGACTATTTGAAAAGACCTAATCTACGTTTGATAGGTGTACCTGAATGTGACGAAGAGACTCAATCCAAGCTGGAAAATACGCTTCAGGATATTATTCAGGAAAACTTTCCCAACCTAGCAAGGCAGGACAATATTCAACTCCAGGTAATACAGAGAACACCACAAAGATATTCCTCAAGAAGACCAACCTCAAGGCATGTAATCGCCAGATTCACCATGGTCGAAATGAAGGAGAAAATACTGAGGGCAGCCAGAGAGAAAGGTCAGGTTACCTATAAAGGGAAGCCTATCAGACTCACAGCAGATCTCTCAGTAGAAACCCTACAAGCAAGAAGAGAGCGGGGGCCAATATTCAACATTCTTAAAGAAAAGAACTTTCAACCCAGAATTTTACATCCAGCTAAGATGTAAAATTGAATTTTATATCCAAACTGAGTTTCATAAGCGAAGGAAAAATAAAATCTTTTGTGAACAAGCAAGCACTCAGAGATTTCATCACCACCAGGCCTGCTTTACAAGAGCTTCTGAAAAAACCACTACAAATAGAAAGGAACGACCAGTATCAGTACAAGAGCTTCTGAAAAAACCACTACACATAGAAAGGAACAACCAGTATCAGTCTTTCTAAAAAATACTAAAAAATAAAAAACATCAACATAATTAAGAACTTGTATCAACTAATGGGCAAAACAACCAGCTAACATTAAACAGCAATATCAAACTCACATATATTATTGCTAATTCAACTGAATCCCCCAATCCAAAGTCACAGACAGGCAAAAAAAGCCAAGACCCATTGGTATGCTACATCCAGACCCCTCACATGCAAGGATACACAAAGACTCAAAACAAAGGGATGGAGAAAAATTTACCAACCAAATGGAGAGCAAAAATAATAAATAAATAGAAAGCAGGAGTTGCAATTTTTGCTGATAAAATAGACTTTAAAGCAACAAAGATCAAAAGAAGCGAAGGATATTACATAATGATAAAAGGATCAATGTAACAAGAAGAGCTAAAGATCCTAAATATATATGCAGCCAATACAGGAATACCCAGATATATAAGACTTATAAATAAAGAGACTTAGACTCCCATACAATAATAGTGGGAGACTTCAACATTAATATCAGACAGATCAATGAGACAGAAAGTTAACATCGATATCCAGGACTTGAACTCAGATCGGGAACAAGTAGACTTAATTCACATTTATAGAACTCTCCACTTTAAATATACAAAATATACACTCTTATCAGTACCACATCACACCTATTTATAGGTTTAAATGAAATATTGGTTGGCTGCTTGTTAATTATTTTCTTCCCTCATTTTTTTTTCTCCATGTCTCTATTACTAAACACAATTACAGGCATACCCATTTTTAGACTGCATTCTAGCCCGGGCAATAAAGCAACACCTCAGTTCTCTCTCCCTCTCCCTCTTCCTCATTCTTCCTCTCCTTCATTTTTCCTTTCTTTCTTTTTTTTTTTTTTTTTTTTTTTTTTTTTTTTTTTTTCCAAAGAGAAAGAATGAAAAAAAAAAGAGTACCTTTTGGATAACAGTTCTTCATCAGGTATAGCTTTTGCAACTTTTTCCCAGTCTGTGGCTTTTTATTCTCTTGATAGTGCTTTTCACAGAGCAGAAATTTTTAATAGCCTCCAGCTTACCAATTTTTTCTTCATGGATCATACCTTTGATGTTATATCTAAAAGGTCGTTGCCAAAAACAAACAAACAAACAAAAAAAACAACTGTTTGTTGATCTTGTTTCCCTATATATAATCTTATAGAGTGGAGACTTGGTAATCAATACTTTGAATTAGAGTGTGTTCCTTGAATTTGAAGTGCAGTTTATATGTATTCTATATATAATGTATTTTATGTGTAGAAAAGCCTTATTAAGTGTAATGAATCTGAGATACTAATGGGGATATTTGTTATTTTCTTGCACAATCTTTGTAGACTGAAAAATTTTTAGAAAAATCTAACACAGATGATTCTTGTATAGATTAAAATCTTCATTTATTAAATGACCTAAGTATTTCTCTTATGTAAGACAATTCTGGTTATTCTTTTGTTCTCAAATTATAAAAACACATTTTTCCTAAAAATGTTTAATAATTTGGATTTCACATTGATTTGGCTTTATTTGTGATAATAAGATTATTCTTTAGTGAATATTCTTCTGTAGTAAATAAAGTATTATTTAAAGCAGTATTGGGAGAAGACTTTTGGAATGGTGGCATAAGAAGCTCCTTGGACTTTCTTGTTAGTGAAACAACCATGACTTGTAAAAAATTGTTTTAAAACACAGCTATTTAATGTCTCTGGAAATTGTCCTAAGGGTATAGAGCAAACAAAGAAACATTTACTCAAGAAAATCTATTACATTTTGGCAAGAACAGTGAGACTCTGTGGAATTTGAGCCACAATCCCTTCTTTAGTTCTTCCTCTCCTGACTGAGCATGACAGAAACTGTACCCCAAGGCGTTTGCAGCCAATAATGTAGGAGCCCTCTGCCATGCTGCCTTCCCAGGAGGGGAAGGCTATTAACTTTTCTTTTCCCTCCCACTAGCTCTGAATTGCAGATGCTGTATTCCAGGTAAAATTTACTGACTTGTGAGCCTCTTTTCTCTATCTAGCCCCATGTATAGAGTGGAAACTTTACCCTACCTGTGGCAGGCTGACAATCTTGCCCTATCTTTCCCAAAGCATGGAGGTTCCATGGTTGGAGAGCAAGCTGAGAAGAACAGAAGCCACCACCCCTGCCCTGCTTGCTTCTTGTAAAGCAAGTGTATCTCTTGGAGGGAAGTATGTCACTATTTCCGCAGAAGTTCTGCCTAGAGAGAGAGGCAGGCTGTAATAACACAAAGCTCTGATGCTCTTCTCAAGGAAACAGACTCTTTTTGTAACTTGAGTATTTGCAAGTTCAAGCATAAGCATACTGTCAAAAACAAGGTGTGACTGTAGTGATAAGCAATTAAGAGAAGGCTGGTAATTCCATAACTGCGGGAAGCTAAAGTGTAGCCCAGCTAGACATTTACTAGAAAGAACCAGGAAAAGAGAAAGCTAAGAAAAGCCCTCCTGGGACTGTAACAAACCTCAGAGACTGGCCTCACTGACTACCCTTGCAAAGAGGCTTGAATTTAATTGGCTGAGATTGTTGAACAATGTATACCCCAGGACACTGCTGAAAATATTGGAACAGTCATCTGGCAATTAGCGGAACCTAACAACTAGGTATGACAACAAAAGAAGCAGACAGTTTAACAGAGAGATCAAGGAGAGACAGTCAAAGAGAACCAGTGTCATCCTAGGGTGACTGCACATACTCAAGGCGTGCCCTGTGAGGAGCAGTATCAGAGGAGGCTGTATGCTGTTGGGAGAATAGATTCACATATAAGAGTCTAGCCAAGTCACTAAGCAAATAAATAATAACAACAAGTCCTGGAA